ATCTGATGAAATAAACTCTTTCTTTTTCATTACTATTTTTAATTACATCTATCCCAGTAAATATCAGATATTAATGAATTGACTAACCGAATATATAGTGTTTATAAGTAGAGCTTTATGTTAACTACTATGTCCAGTGATTGAACTTTACATGAGGATAATATTCAGTAACAAAATCATAGTTCATATATTCAGCATTAGAAATGAGTCTGTAAGATAGCTTTTTATTTTATTCAGATGTTTAAACAATAACTTATTTCACTGGTTGAAATCATGAGTCAATTGAAGCTAGACCATCATGGAAAACCTGGAAGCACTAGACGGCCGTTTCGTCCTAGTATGGGAGTCCTCAACAGTGCGCATCCACGACCTCGCCCCCCGCGAGATTCGAATCCGGGATCTACTGGTTCCGCACGCAAGCACTTAATCACTAGACCACTGAGCCGGCCGGCATCCAACGGCGTTAGTGTCTAACTTCAACCAATCCACGAATTTGCGCCACCATACACCATTGTTTTCAGTGAGTTGATATCTCACAACCGACCTGGTTGAACTTCACCACCGTCCAGTGCTTCCAGGTTTTCCATGGTGGTCTAGCTTCAATTGACTCATGATTTCAACCAGTGAAATTTCTAAAATCTCCACAAAACCCCTTCTGATAATAACTTATTTGTCTTCTGTCTTTATATAACAGTAAATTAATGTTGTTTTAACAATTAAATTATACAGTTTCAGTTAGTGTGTGGCAGGTTTGAAGCTTAGATAGACTTTCAAGTTTTAACCGTTACATAAAACAACAATCATATCCTATATGAGTTAGTTATTTAATCTCCACTGACTCTGGAAAATGGTTGCAAAATATCATGAATTGACCAGAGTTGTAAATGTAAACTACTAGATGTCAATTCAATGGTATAAAGGTTAAACACTGTCTGACAGATCTGACTGTCAGTATTGGGTTCTGGAGATTATTAAGTTTTTGATTGATATCATGAACCGATGGATGTTAGACCATTATTGAAAACCTGGAAACACTGGCCTACCGTTTTGTCCTGTTGTAGGACTCCTCAGCAGTGCGCATCCACGGTCCCGCTCGCGGAATTCGAACACAGGAACTTCGGTCTCGTGCGCAAACGCTTAACCTCTAGACCACTGAGCCGGTATCCAACGGTGTCAGTGTCTAACTTTGACCAATCCACGAAATTGCGTGACCATCTTTCACTGTACTGAGGTAGATACCTCTGCCTACCTGATATAGATTGGCTACACTGTTCACGAGAATTCCATCACGAAGCTAGTCACTAGTGAGCATATGATAATTATCAGTATTCGATTGTGGAGGTTTTTAGGTTTTTGATTGAGATTATGAACCGATTGTTGTAAGACCACCATTGAAAGCTGGGTTTGATCCCTGGTGGAATTATGAATACCCACTGCTGAGGAATCCCGTGAAAAGACGAAATGATTACTCAGTTGCTCCTGGTCTTCATTGGTTGTTGAAATAGGGTCAGTATATGATCTAAACCATATGATTATGAAATAATACTGATTTTTTACATGGTTAAAGGTGTAAGAATTATTGACCCCTGAAACCGAATATTATTTGCAAGGGATATTATGTACAATTGCTTGAGTTTTGAAAAATAGTGAACATTTAACGTATTCCAAGAGATTCTCGACATTTATTGTTACTTACTTACAAGTAATATATTAAAGCCCAAGGGAAATTTTTGGTTTAAAGGATTAAATATAGTGGTAGATGAACAGCATGTAGTATTAGGAAGGTTAGATTAAAATATACATTGAAGTTTATTTATATTGTGTTCAATAGGAAAATTACGAGTAAACAACACTAAGTGAATGGTATTCAATGGTTTACAGATTTCTGTTGATTTTTGCTAGAATACACTTAAATTTTCTCTATCGTTTACTTAACTGAAAATATTAGGTATTTACTCTAGTGTCACAGGGATTTGTTTCTCATCATAGAAATTCTATTCTTATCTAGATAAATACTATGACAATTAAGAATAGACTATTCGATAAATGATGTTTACATAGATTTGTAATTTATTAATTGTTTACATATGCACAAATTTACTATGATACTGATTATTTCGATGAATAGAAGTTTAGAGTTCACAAGTGTTATCTTATATATACACATATATATATATATATATAGTTCTTATTCGTTTATTTCCGCTAATAAATACACACAACTAGAGTTAGTTATGATTTTATAAGAATAACAAAAGATTTCCAATGCTTTGTTTATGTTCACATTTAAATAAACATTCAAGATATAATAATAAACCAATCAGAGATGAATGATTAAAATGAAACTAACTTGAATGCATAAAACAAAGAATAAGATCTTTTAGTCATTAGAACTGTATGCAATTTCGATAATAAGAGGATAAAAAAAATTTTTTTTCCTTAAGAAAGAGAAGAAACATCAGAGAAGTTTTATGGGTATTCATGAATTCATATCGTTTCATTCCGTATGATTTCACATGAAACGAAGCGTTTGTGAATAGTTCTGATTATTCGCTTGAAATATGTACGTTTGTGTGATTGTAATAACTAAGAGCAAACTGTGATTTCAAAGAAAATAGTCAATGATTTTTAGGAAAAAAAAATAGTATGAGATTGGGGGAATGATGTGCAGATAGTGTGGTAAACAATTTTATGACGCCATGTTTTTTTTAAGGTCAAACTTAAGAGGTTTATTGGTTTTTCATATGCATAGAAATGTGTGTATCTTATTTCTTTAACGTATAAGTGTTATTTTAAATGTAAAGTTGTATGTGCAGTCATACTAAAATTTTTTTAGTTGTTTAGGAAAAGTTTTCTTAAGTGTTTAAAACATGAACAAAGGACTTTATGAGTTCTAAAAATAAACGGGTAGTAAGAAAAGCTTTTCAATGGGTTGTAAAAGTGAAGGATAATGTTTGTTAGCATGAGTTAAGAATATTTACGGTGTTTGATAAGAGTATATGTGGGTATGGATGTGAATCAGGTTTCAGGTTTCCATTCCTTCTAATTCCAATACCAATTTAGAGCACGCAAAGAAAACAATACAACTTATTAAACAGAAAAAATTACGCACTTCTGTTATGCTAGTCAGGAAATCATCAAAATTTTACATTTTTAGCTCCTTCCGATACCATCATCAGAATGTTTGATACCAAAAAGTTCATGTTACTCAAACGTTAAAGAGATATCTTAAGCCAGGATTAAGTGATTTTTGGTATCCGGAGAGTGTACAGAGAATAGACAAAAGTAGACATCTAGCGTAAGGTATAGTATAAATGACTACCCATTCAATTTACCCTGCTTAAAACCAGTGAAGATACTGGAAAATAACAAGTTGAAAAATACAAGACAAAAATATTAGTAATTACAGTGTTAATAATATCTATAAGTTATGGTTTTAAAATATTATTTCCTTCAGAGAGTGAACAACATCCCATAGACTGAAAAAATGTATTAGATTGAATGTTAATAACAGACTGGGTGGAGAACCTTGGGTGAAGTAATGCACATTTTACCAACGATTTTTCATCATTTAGATATAATATTACCATATTCTTGAATTCAGTTTGGGTTTCAGAGAGAAATGATCACCAAGAATATCAAGCAGTTTAAGACATAAATTCCAAAGTTTGGTGGTCGCAGTTAATGGGATTCATTACCCTTCCCAGCTTTTATAAATGGAATACGGAATTTTTTTGATATATTTGAACCAAAGGATTATTTGAAACTTAAATATTGGTACTGAAATGACACGAATATTTATATATAAACATTTAACTACTCAAAATTATTTAAGTAAGTAATGGTGGTTCATAAAAAGTTTAACCTGTCAACTCTTTCCACCAAACCGATTTGAGTGAGAGCAGGTAAATACTAATAAGGTTTTAACCAATATTTTGGTAAGTACCAAATTTTGTCATTGAAAACCTTTAACTATTACATACCTTTAGCTGGAGGATTAGGCACTGCTATTATTTGGTTGCTTTTTTTTTAATGAAATCAGGTTTCGATAATTGAACATAGATTTGGATATTAAATTTCGCATTTTAATTGTGATTAGTGTCTAATGGAAAAATTCACTTGTTTATCAGCCACTGTGATACCATTTAATTACTTCTAAGCTCACAAATGCTATTGGTTAATTATATTTTTAGGCTTATTTTATTGTTGTAGGTCTGATTTTGTTTAGTATAAGAATTATTGTCAGACAACATGCAACAAAACATACGGAATCATATCAACACAACGGTTATAAATGAATTAAAATGTATGAAAATGTATTTCGTTAATTAAAGGAAGATTGTTACTAAATTATGAAGCTCTTTGTGATGATGTTTATAGGAAATGATCAAAGAACATAAATGTATATATGGTTCTTTATGTTCAATGAAGATGATTGCAGGTCACAATCTTACATGCTCAATGATGAAACATTTAAAATTTAAACTGGCTAAACGAATAATAATTACTTTAGTATCTAAAATGGAAACTTATTTTCGAGTGACCTACATAAATGCGAGTAATGAAAAATATGCAACCAAATAATAGTTACTCACAAGAGAAATAATTCGAAAACATTGCCTACATGCTAAAGTGGTTGGGCTAAATAGTTGTTTTATAATCTGTCGAGAACTGGGATAGTTTCATGATAACCAGTTATTAAAATCCTATTTGAGCCAGAATTTCCCACATAACTTCAATTGTCAACAATATAGACAATATATATACAATAACTTACTAAAACACAAGCTAATTCAGTATAAGATAATTCCAGCAGCTTTGATTAACTGTGGTTCATTCCTATAGAATCTAAACAGTCAATACTTGTTTGAAGATCAAAGATTGATGTTAGATAAAATCGATCATTTAAAATATCCGTATGTCACAGTGAAAAGAGTTGAATATTATGTAATTAAAAATGTAAAATGAAAACTACATTTTAAATGAATCATATAATTTACCTGATTTAAATACCTTAGAGTTACATTTGAAAATTTGTTCAATTTCATGTTCAGAAAATTGAGAACAACTAGTTTGAACAATAGTACACTAGTTAGAAAAGAAAATTGATAAATAAAAGGTTATTTTATCTTTCAAAAAAGAGAGGAAGTATTCTTGGCATGCGGTGGAATCACCGCAACGCTGACTAGCATTAGGGAAAAATGACTAAATGTTATAAAGAGACCTCACTAGGATATGCCATAAATTCATGAAATCATCATTTCTTAGAATGAATTGTGTTAGAGAATATAGGCTTCTAGTTATTTTCTGCATAATAACTATGACATATGCACAAAGGTGGCTTAATAGTCAACGGACTGGGTCTTCTACCCGTGGGTAACAAGTTCAAATGTATTCTACCTAGTTTAGTATGGACAGTCAGTTAGTAGTAACAATAGTTTTCCTTCACAAAAAACGTGTGATTCAAACCCGAATATAAGAAATTTTACTCATTAAACAAATCACATATGTTTGTTTACTTAGAGACTTATGATGATGTGATTCACGAATGATAACAGTGGTTCATCTGTATTCAGTGTCTATTTTCTTCTAGATCATGAGTTTTACTATAATTTCATACCTTTCGTTTAGCAGCTTCACTACTTATTTTCGAAATAAGTCCACCGTTGTTACAACCATTGCTTAAATTTCTTTGATTGTCATGTTAACTTTATCTCTTCATGTGGTAATGTGAAATATGGCAACTTACGTGGATAAACAAGTACATGCTAGTTCCTGATTAGATGAACCTATATCAAACAACGGGTCCCAAATAGAAGGAAAGTCCCAAACTGTTGTATGAAACATCTTTAGTGGTGATCAATTACCGATTAACTTTACTTCAGTTTATTGCTGATGAAAATGATAAATCTATGAAAGTTCTTAAACAAAGATATAGTTGATGAAAGAAGCAGGACCAGGTATTATAGATGATACTAAGGAACAGTTGTGTTATAATGATACAGTGACTACATCTAAAAAGTCCTGAATACCAATAACTTTTAAATATTAGTTTTAAAATAATTAGTTATAAATTTTTGGGTGGGATTGATGTATGGTGGGGACATTAGAAAGGTTGGAAACTAGAATCAAACCTTATTTAAACAATCAGTGAAAACCAGGAAACATTAGACAGTAGTTTCATTATAAAATGGGACTCCCAATGTGCACATTCCTGACCCCAACAACTATTGGACCAGAGGTATTTAGTACTTGCTAAGACCACTTGACTTTCAGACCAATGAACCGTTGTCCAATAGTTCGCATGTTTGACTTCAATCTATACGCTACATTGCGCAACTGCCTTCCAATGTTGTTTATGGATAACTGTCATACACCCTATATCAATTCCTTAGAGGACTCACCTTGGGACGAGGTATATATCTAGTAGTTCCTGATTTCCAGTGGCTGTTTAGCCAATATCAGTTGGTGATGAGAACAATAAAATTCAACAATCTCCATAAATAACTTACCTTACTCAGTTCTGCCCCCAAATGCCCTGGTACGGTGGAGAGTGGGGAGGGCCCACCCTCTCTCTCGAAATGCTCACAAACGGCCACGCGTATACAGTTTCTGCCAGGGAAGTCCTACTCACTGCCTTCTCGTGGCTGGGGTGTTGTTTACGAAATTGAGAGGACACCGTGAGTCCACATAGGGGAGTTGAAAAACCATGATTCCAAACCAATGGCGCACATGGGCTCCAGTATCCTGAAGGAACAAATGACGTATGTACTAAATGTTGGTCACCGCCCACCATGGGATTGCATCTCCTCACGATGCTCATCTGCCTTGTGGATCAGACCTTTAGGTCGAAGGCTCGGGGTGTGGCCTCCTAAGGTAGTCAACACCTACCAACATGGCTCAGTCCCAAATGTCAGTGACTTCATGGATTTATGCCATGTTTTGGTCTGGTTACTCCTAGCTTTCTTCCAATCTACTCCTACTCCATAAAACATAGCACACTTACTATACTAGAATAAAACTATCGTTTATTAACATCTAATTTTAGCTAATAATACATTAGGTAATATCATTATTGAGTTAATTATGTTAAAGGTAAGAATATGTAAAATTAATAATCTAAATAAAATTTGGAAATAAAATCAACCCCATGATTATGTACTTACAGAATTAGTTTTTCGTAAATAATCACATATTATTTTAGCTGACTGAATAGCTGATTCATGTGGAAATATTGTAATTAGGGCAGATTTATTAAACTGTTTTTGTATTATTTGATTAGTAGATTGAAATAATGTACTATTTGATAATTTATTGCCAATTGTAAAAGGAACAACAGAGTTATCAGTTGAAAAAGATAATGGAATTGACATTAACGGTTGCAAAAGAGACATGGAATCATCATCGCCTATGAAAATATAAAATAATCCGAAGAAATACCCCCTTAAAATTAGTTGTTCAATAACTGGAAACATAATCGTTAAGTATATTAATTAGTTCAATAAAAACTATTTAAATAGAGTTTTAGAAAGTATCAATATCCATAGTGACTAAATTAGAATTCTTATCAGAAAGGGTTTTTTTGTGAATATTATAGTAATTTAATAGTTGAGTACATGAGTCAGTTGAAGTTATACCACCATAAAAAACCAGTGACTCCTCAGCATCTATCATCCATGGCTCCGCCTCACAGGATTCGAATCCAGGACTTATCGGTCGTGCGCGCGAACGCTTAACACCTAAATCACTGAGCCGCCATCCAACGGTGTTAATGTCTAACTTCAACTAATCCACGAAATTGAGCCACCTTTCACTATTGTGTTCAGTGAGTTATTATCTCCCAATAGACCCAGTTGAACTCCATCGGCTAGTGTTTCTCACACGAACTCCAGGACTTTCCTCTTGAAGCAAGTCACTAATGAGCATATGATGATTATTATCCGAAAAGGGATTTTGTAGATATTATAGTAAATTAATAGTTGAGTTCATGAATTAGTTGATGGGTCCTAAATAGAAGGAAAGTCCCGAATTGTTATATGAAACATTCTTAGTGGTGATCAATTACTGATTAACTGACTAAGAAGAAGACACTTTTATGAATGAAACTATTTGTCCAAAGCATTCATTATTCCATACATTAATTTTCAAAGAAATAAAAACAACAATTTAAACGTAATAAAATTAATTCATTGTCACTAACTGATTACAATAACTTGTAGTGTCTTCATATCTAATTTTCAAAATAATATTTATCATTAGAATGGGGTTTTTGTCTGTCTGCCGATAACTTTTGAAGTTGGATAGCATAGGTGCAAACGTGGAAAACTAACATTAAGGTATACAAGTTTCATGGTCTAAATATACCGTAAAATAACGAGTCAATCTAACTCCATAATTGGAAGCTAATCACTTAAGGTCACAAAATTACTGCTTGTAAGCTCGTGTTGTTTATATTTTTCAAAATATTCAAAACTAGAAAAAGTGAGTTACCTTTTACCCTTCTCTTGATATCTGTTACTCAACTGACCTAATAATCTTATATTTCATGCTAGACAACCCTTAGAAGAGGTTGAATACAAAGCTATTGGAAAGGTATAACTCATAAATGTCAGTATATTGAGTAAAAGCATCTTGATATTTAGTATGTGGACTAACCTTCAAAAAATCAGAGCACTGATGGTATACATGAATAATGTCGTATTTAATTACAAACTACTAACACATAAAACAGTAATATATGTAATATATGTTATGAGCTGAATTAGGCAATGAAGATTAAAATAATCAGGACCTTAAACAGAAAGCATACATATACTAAGATCACACATAAATTCATTTTATTTCCTACAATCTGAGTGAACTTATTATTACATGGGAAGAGAACACTATTTCTACTAACATGGTTTTAAATTATGGCGCTTATCCAATAATGATTTATAATTATTTCAGAAAAATATCATGCTAAAGGACTGAATTTAATTAATTCAAGACAGTATCCATTCAGTTTTACGCGTCAGTTTTTAGGTTGTCTCGTATCTACGTTGAAATTTTTTTAACTGTTGCCATTACTTTTATAATTGCAACTAATTTTAAGGGTAATTAATTTATGCATACTGATATGGTTATAGATTAGTGTTTGGTTTTGTCATTTTTTTCTGGTAATTTTATGAACTATAAATGAAGTGGTTAAGCGATTCAATCATTTTGCCATTGATGTCACAAGTTATTGTAGATACTTTTGGATCTCATGGTTTACGTCACAACTTGAACTTATTTGGACGACCAATGAAAACCAGGACGAACTGGATGGTTATTTCCTTCACATATGGGGCTCCTCAGCAGTAAACACTCACAACTCTGCCAGGCATCGAGTCATAAAACATACAGTCCTGTCGGCTGGTGCCTAAAATTTACACCAATGAGTTGGCATCCAATATTTTACAGTCTTAACTTTAATTAATTCACCCTATTGTTTGACCTTAATTAATCGTCACCAATAATATGTGTTTCACGCCAAACCCTTGAACCATTGGAGGCCAGCCTGGTGGTCTCAAGATAACTCGCTCACCGCAAGTTCTGAAATTCCTAAGTTTGACTTCTTTTGGGGTCACTTATCTGCGTTGCTGATGAGTTCTATACAAAACCGAAACAACTGCTTTTTGGTTTACAGTGATTGTCTAAGAATTTTTATTGAGTTATACCTATTTCGCCTAGATCTATCAAACTGGAGGTCAAAGATATTACGGGTTTTTGGATATATGTCTGTCTTCCGAAGTCTTTTTGTACATTTATGGGATTCTCTGTAAGATAAACAGTTTCATACAAATGCAACACGGAACACTGAGGTGGAACAATGCTTTACATGTGGTATTAAATAATTTACTAATTTTAAAAAGAATGTATGTTACCATTTTCAAGTTTACTATTTTCAACTTCATGTTCTAATGCCTTTTGTGGTGTTAAAATATGGTTATCTATTGAATCAGTCGTTTTTAGCAGTGAAATATGAACAGCATCAGTATTTTCATCCGGGGTGAAATCATAGATATCATACCAATTGCAATTAAATATACTGAGGCCAGATGCAACAAAATGATCTAAAATTTGTAGAGAAACAAAAAAAATTCAAGGAGTTACCAAGCATGTTGGTAAGACATATTTCATTTCTAGAATATTAAGTTAGTTCCTATGGTCTATTGTATGTACTTGATGCCTTTAAAGCCGACGACTTTGTAATTCCTTTATCTGGTGAGTTTAAAATATGCGGACAATATCTAAGAGTTTAGTAGTAGTTTATTAGAATTTTTTCTATTGTTATATATCCCTATGAAACTGGTGTTCTTTATAAGTTTTCACACCTCAAAGGCTTTAAAAAGCTGTTAGGAGCAGTCATCTAGTCATGACAAAGTCTGTCGGCAAAGCCTTTTGCAGCCTGAAATCTATTTTATGTAAAGTGCTTCAGTGTAAATTGACATTTAAATAGTACAATAACGTTTGGATGAAAATACTGGTAATTCTAGTTGTGATGTTCACTACTTCAATGATCAAAATCTCCAATTAGGTATAACTTTTCTGAAGTGATGCCAGATACTTACAAGACATTATAGCACAATTTTATGAATATTAGATTTCCTACTGGAATGTAAAACCCGGTAGAATATCATTACTCCATGTTCAAGGCATAATTTGTATGATCTTTGTTATATTCTAACGAAGAATAAATAAGTGGTAACTGCTAGAAATTATTTATGGACAATTAATAAACTTATTCTTATTGTCTAACTATTACGTAACTGTATCATATGTATATTTACATTTCTTTTATTGTAAGCTTTAATTGAATCTATTGACGATTATTATACGATTTGCCATTTTTAAGTTATTCTCACTTTATTAGTTACAGTCTCTCACAATCAAAGCCACTTTGGACCTGATCTTGTATAACTGTTATTTTTTATTTTAGGGTGTGATGTGATCTGACTGCCTGTACATAAGCCGAGTGTCTGAGATACATGATTAATATAGTAGAAGCTGAGAATGTGTCCTGAAATCAGACTGGCAGAGCTAGGCGAGAATCACCAATAAGGACTCAGAGTTGATTCTAGGCTGCTCACACTGGTTAATGCATCAGTGGTTTGGCACAGCGCCAAAGTTATATAAGTTGGTATTTTAATTGGCAATCTTATCATGTAATAATTAACAGGCCATAAAGACATAATAGTTTTAAGATTTAGAAATTAAAATTAGTAAGACACTTTACTGATTCCTAAAATATGAAAAAAAGACTTTTTTGATTGATCCTTTCGTCCAGAAAGGAGTATTTAAAATCACATTCAAATCTTACATTACTTTTTGATCAATGATACAATGTAGTTGATTCGACGAGATGAGAAGGTGGAATCACATTTCCAACTCAATGTGATTCTTACTCAACATTATTTTCGTCCTTCATTCTATACGATGATCATTCAGAGTAATATCTGTTTTGTACTCCAGTTTAACACTTTGCTTGTCATAATATTAACTCATTCGAGTGTGATGTTATTTCAAAATACAATGATCTTGTATAAAATTATATAATTATATGAGATTTTATTCTAATTAATAATCAAACGGAATGTTAAATTAATATATATTGAGCGTATTTTTGACCAGAGTTGTTGTGTTTTGGGTTTGATAAATTTTCACTCGTATCAGTCTTGGAGTTTCTACTTTTCGTCGTGAGAATTACAGTGGTTCCTCGTTTTCTAAAGTATAGGGATAGGAGACGCGGATGAAACAGCAGTTGTACTATCCTCTCAAGGCCTGTTGTCATACAGAGTATTATAATAATCACCACTAAAATTCTGAAAATATTTGCCATGTTATCTAGATTCTACGGTTTATTTTTCGATAAAAGTTTGAACTTGCATGATTACCCAAAAATTTTGATTCTGGTTCACCTTCATTGTGTTGTGAAATTTTCAAGAAAAATCCCGAAAAAATTAAAGCTAACTTACTAAGCCACGCAGATTCACATGAAGCTGTCATAAAGAACCAGGGGTTTGGTTATGAAAGGTCACATAACCTCAACAAAATTTAAAAGATACTGCTATCTATGGGTCAGTTTAAAAGATTACTGGCCCATAATCAGGTGGACGCAAGACGAACTCTTTTAAAAGTGGTCTATAGGCAGTGTTTTCACTTAAAATGTATATACACTCATATTAACAAAAGGTTTCTGATCCGACGTCGTGAATAGGCAAAACGTATTCTTAGGTATTACATTCGGCCCGAGAACAGACATTTTTATTCGCAATACGAAAATACTGTTTGGAAGTAGCATAATGTATAAAATAATATTTAAAAGTCCCCAATGTGTGCTCATGAGAGAACGTTACACAGTATCAGTTCATACCTTCTAAACCTGGATAGCTACACTGATAGGGACCAAAAGTGAAATTTGTGCAAGATTCAATGATAGGTTCTGTTGAACAAGCCACGAAAACAAGTGTATCGTGACAATCCCTCGACCGAAATTGTTGACATGCAGTCGCTATAACACACCGTCGGCAATCTCTTATGAAAAAACTGAACGGTTAGTAAGCATATGTCTACCAGGTCTTTACAGGCCCTGTCACGATAGTACAATCTGAACAGTCATCAATAGTGATTGTCATTGAGTGATCTAAGAGGTAAATGTAAGAATTCTGGAGACCAATTTAAATGGTGTAATAAACCCACCTTACAATTCTGGATTAAAAATTGCTGACCGTTTATTTCCCCTGAAATTCTGCCATATATACCACCGCACTTGTCGGTGATTATAAAATCTTTAGGGTCTAGTTCAGATCTACCACTGATCATAGATTAAGTTTAGATATAATTAAAAATCATGATAGCACCTGGAGTATGCGTCTAATTTTCCGTTCTTGGATAGAAGCTTTGAACTATTTTCTAATCTTGAGTGATAAGATTTACAACAGAAACATAAAATATTCATGTGATTTTGAAGGAGCGACAAATATTCTCATATAAGCAACCTAAATATTTAGCTCATTAAAAGTAAAGAGTTCATTCAAGGACTCATGTGAAATAAAAGAACTGGACATTTCCACTTACGACTTAGTGGAAAATTTGTTCAACTATTAGGACATGTTGTGATGTTTTTATCTCTGAAGACTGAAGAAAACTGAGGACTAATCTTCCGTGTAAAACTCTAAAGTAGATCAATGAATGAACACTGATATGACCCTCACACTGTTACAGGGTTATTTGAACTGGTTAAGACCTAAACTAAATTATATGATTGAAAAACATGTTGTTTCTGCTTTATTAATAAGTTATTATTTATTTCTTGGTAATTGGTCATTAACTTCCATTCATTTGCAATTTGTAAATGTGAGTGTATATCGTCATATGCACGTTCGCCTACCTATTTATTCACTGATCACTTGGAATTTGTGTTTGTGTATTATCCATAAGATAGTTTCTTTATTTGTATATGCATTCGCTCATTAATTCGTGAATTTGCTGGTTCCATTTGAAGTGGACAGGATGGCTTTTTGTGCTCGTTCAAAATGCATCATTCTAAAAAACGTTTTTTGATTCCTGATTTTCTATATGCTTAGAAGTTACCAAAGTATATGTATCAGAGTTCAAAGGTCTAAAAATCTTGAAAAAATAATCATAATTCTCTGTATTACATTTTATCACTGGAACGAATGATTATATCATAAATTTTAGATGATATTGAGTCCTTAAGCTGTGTTGTAGTGCATGGCATTTGTGTTAACAGATATAAATAGTAAGCAGCGCTAATCGGAAGTGGCGTATGTGTCATTAGAAGATTGAGATAAAGATAACAGGAAGGAAATCTATGGGTAATCGAAATAAGAACAGAAGGAAACTCAAAGAGATAGGGATACGCGGGATACAGTTATGACTATATTACATTCGCCATTTCTCCAGAATGTCCTGATCATTTGAAAAACCCAAGGCACTTCGTGTACCTCTGTGTCACTATCAGAGGGGCATAGTTACTTGTAGGCATTACGGTTTTTCTTTAGAACAAAGTAGACGCGTTTCACAGCTCTTTAATGCCTATCGTTATTCCCCGCATGATTTAATGAAAGAGCACCATAATATGCTTCATCGCAGTTGCCTACTGGATTCTGCCTACTTCTTCAAGAGCTGGCCAACGATGTCTAGTGAGTATTTAAGTTTTGGTCACAAATAATTCTAGATGATCCTAATAGACATTCGTTCATGGCTACTTTATTTTACCTCATGGACTATGGCATACAGTCATAAAATCGCTTACTGCAATTACTAACCCGTCTATCGTCTATTTAGCTTAGAGCTAGACAGATGTTACTTCCGACAGTATCTAACTTCCGACTTTATTAAACTTCAGTAACTTATGGTTTATAAATGGATAAACTGGGTTAAGCATCTGTATATTGGAGATATCTCGAGTATTCTCCAGTGTCATGACAGATATTGCTCTTTGTCTAGGGTGATGGCTAATTCTGTAACTCGAGTCCTGAGTACTCGGACAACTCTTCATCCAAACAAACCAGAATGTCCTTGAAACTAGATAGGTCCGATGCATTTCATTTATCTCAACTTCTGACTTCTATCGCATGGTCGCTCTGGGTCCGGAAAACATTTAATGTTAGAGCATCTGGAAAACGAATAATTAACTCATTTTTAAGGTGTTGTGTTGGGAAGATTAAAGTTATTAGGTGTTCCTTCACAGATTAATAGATCTTTAGCCATTGATTTTTTAATTCCTAAGACCACTAATAATACTTGTAGTAGAAGTTCGTGAGTAAACTACTCATATGTTGATACAATTACAGTTTTGTTTGAGTTTGTACAGTGTCCCAGTTCAATCAGCATATTGCGTCGCTGACGTTGATATTCTCTAAAAGCTAGAAATAAAAAAGGATTAGTCCACAAAATAACTTTGAGTAAGGTCTTTCCAAACAGAATACTGGTTTCAAGCTCGGGTAAAGGAGAAAGGTTGGATCTGCGCTTGTTAGCCTAATCCCATAAAAATAACTTTGCTGAAAACAATAACCAGAAAACAATTACTTAGACAACTAGAGCTCTACTCTGTGCTTTGAAGGATTTTCATATAGAAGAGCAGTGACATGTCATAGTGGAAGCCAAGCTACTTTGGAAGTCTCAATGTAGATTTTCCATATATAAAAAAACCCAACAAATATAGGTATATGAAATGTCTGTATATTATAGGAGATTGAGAAAACCACACAAATAACCGCAGAAATGAGAAGATACAAACTGACCGTGATTGGAATAAGTTAAACTCACTGAACACAATTCGAGTGAAGAAAAGTAAATTTATGAAATGTAAAACCATATTCTGTTCAAGAAAAACAAAATTCTTCAACAAACAAGAGCTTGCACTAGTGCTATGGAAAGGAACATAAAATATGCCATTAGGATAAGTCTCATGAATCTAGTGTTATCAAAGCATACTTTACATCAAATAAGAAAGAGGCTACAATGAATATCATCCAGTGCTACATACTCACCAACGATAACAGTAGAAATGATAAGGATCGGTTTTATAAGAGACTGCAATTCATTATCGAGAAATGTTCAGGAAATGAAAAGACCATCCTGATAGGATGACAAAATGCTAATATCGGAATGAACAACATCGGTAATGAACGCACTATGTGTTGATGTAGACTTGGAGAAAGGAACGAAAACGGTGAGAGATTTGAAAATCTACATAGGTTCAGCAACATGGTTAGAGGTAAATTCATTTTCTCCTGTAAATTCATATACAAAGCTAAATAGGTCCCATTGAACCACATTACACAAAACTCTATTAACTACACTTACATTGATGAGGCGTTCAGAATGTTCCTGAAGAAGTAGGAATAAGGAAAGGAACTGGTGTAACTTCAGATCACCATGTGGTGGCGGCTGAACTGAAACGGAAGCTGAAGAAGCAGTGGACAAGCAGAAAGACTGCATCATAAACATTTAACACAATGTTTCATCGACAGTCTAACAAACTGAACAAACTCGACATTGTTCTCAACAACAGTTTCCATGCCTAACGAAAATCTTCTCACAGGAGAAGAGTAAATCACTATGGATAACAAGTTGGAAGAAAATAAATCAGAAGTGACCCCAACGAATTAGTAGGTGCCGAGTCACATGGAGCCCGACCAGAATGAAGGATGGATCTCTGTAGATCACCCGTGTGTGAGTAAATAAATAGAGAATAGAAGGACAGTAACAGTGGAATAAGAGCAGAGTAGAGAAATCCCAAGCACAGATTGAACGCCCAGAAGTAAATGAATGAGTGAAGAAAAGTATTGGAGTTAACAAACGGAAACATGTAAAATATCTGACAACTGTATTTGTGCAATTTGGAACTGGAAGAAGTGTGCACGAACCGTGTGTTTTAAACAATAATCTCTCAGGAAAGTCCAGAAGATCAGGTAACTTGTTATGATAACTTGTGGGAAGAGACAATCAGTAATGTGGGATATGCAGGAGTGCAACAGGTGTGTAGAACACTTTGACGAATTGTTGAATAGACCACCGTTGGTGAAAATGATGAAAATCGAGACAGAACACACATATGTTTCTACAAATATCACACTGCCAACAAGTGACGAAAACAGAATAACCAAAAGTGAAACGAATATTAGGAAAGCATAAGTAAAACCAGACAACATGCCAGCTGAAGCACTGAAGTTGGACACAGACGTATATACGGAAATAGTCCACACACTGTTTAGAAAGATTTGGCGGCATTAACAGAGACTAGAAAAAAAGATACTTTAGGTGGGGTTTTGTTCTCCGAGCTAGATGATTTTGTCACGGATCATAATTTGGTCTTCTGATCAACATCTCACTTCTATACGAAGTTTGTGCTAGTGATTTTTAGAAAGACAATGAAAGCTCTACTACCAAACCACCCAGTTTAGAGAACAAGTTTTCACCTAAATTAACCATCTGAGCTATAAATCTTCTCCATTAGAAGGATACTTTATCAGGATACCGAAAGAGAATTCAGCAAGTGTGGGAAATAGAGAGACACCACATTATTGTCAAGATGTTAAAGTTTTCAATAGTGTTGTTGAATCGTATGATAGATTCAGTAGACGTTTAACTCTAGAACAATAAGCTAAATTTAGTGAGGATTGATCGACTAACAAAATCACGACACTGAAGATCATTGTTGAATGATCGTCAATCGTAGTACACTCATCACTTGTTGACTATGAGAAAGTATTTGTTAGGGTGGATGGTAGGAGTTTGTGGACTGTTGTTCGACATTATGGAGTGTCTGAGAGTGTCGACACCATGATACGAATTCTCACAATGGATTACAGTGAGAACTCAGGCAGCTCATAGATCCATTCAAAGTGAAGATCGGTGTGAGACAAGACTGTCTACTGCCAACTTTTCTCTTTGTTCTGATCGTCGGATGGATTATGAAGACCTCGAAATGTGAGTCGAAGCACACAAAACATTGGACAGATTGGATGTAACATGATGTTTACCACTTTGCAAATGACTCGGTACTTATAGCACATACACAGAAACAAATGTATCTGAAGCGATGGAGTGCAGCAGTGGCTTCTATGTCAGTATGCATGGACATTCATAAGAGAAGAAGTGAGATGCTGAAATACAGTACAGTAAGTACCAAGCGAATCGTGTTTGCTGGTCATGCTGTGGAAGAGATGTGATCATTTACGTGACTTGTCAGTATCACTAATAAACAAGGTGGATATGATATAGTTGTGAGTAGGTGAACTGTTAAGGCAAATGTACCGTTGGTACAAGTGAAGAATATTTGGACATCGAAACAACTGCCACATAACACAAATGTCTGAATTTTCAATACACATGTCAAGATTGTTCTATTGTGCTGAGTTGAAACTTGGAGAACTACTGCAACCATCATCAAAATGGTACATGTATTTATAAACATTTGTCTACTGAAGATACTCCAGATGCATTTGTTAGATGCCATCACGAATAATCGACTTTCAACTGTACAAATATTTTACAAATAGAAAGTAAATAATTTAAAATACTTTAAGTGTATAATCATTATGACAAAGAAGCATATACATAGTGAAATCTTATTACATTTAACATTTAGAATAAACTACTTATAAGTCTTGAAATGGAGATTGGGACTGTAGTTGACCTTTTTGAAATTTCGATAGAACAAGGAGAAGACGTAGCTGATGTGAAAAATGTGATGTATTTGCGCTATACATTTCGTGTTCTAGTTCTGGCTAGTAATAGTATTTAGTGGTCATTATCGATGTAAATTTATTATTCACCTAGCTATGTACGTATGGATCTAGCTATATAGCATTGGAGAGAAATAACAGTGAAGTGGATTTATAAAAGATTACCACTCTTTTAGACCCCCTAACTGAATTGGACTATGTTGTAATTTGGTCTGAGCTTGACGTAGGTTATAAGAGTTGATAAATTCGTCTTTCTTGATGTGTAAATACAAGCATATCTTTTTTTAATGAAATCGTAACTGGCTAAAAACCTGATTCATTTTCCATTCAACTGTAAATAATATCAAAGATAACTGACTGTAACGTTGGTCTACCAGGAGGTTAGAATAAATATTGAAATGTTCGAATGGTAGATTTTTTCTGCCAGTTAACTTGTCATAAAAAAACCTCACTTAGTCAAGCATTTTAGTGTCATGAACAACAATGCATTTAATCTGATGTTGTTAGCAGTTTAGTCTTTTGATATTTACTTAAAAAATCTTTGAAGAAGAGATAGAAACTTAGTTTTATTTCAGTAAATTATAACTTCTTTCTGATTTGAAATATTCACAACAAAATAACTGTGAACTTCTTGTACAATACGTTAGTTGGTTAGTGTAAGTAAGCATATCAATATAGGACAACGTTTATTTATTCATTTATAAAATCATACTCTCTTTTGTTTTTCATTGTTATTTCTAGTGTTTCTTTATCTTCATTCCAAGCTGCTTTACTTGAATCTGGTTCAACAGGATTTGGTAGATATAATACAAGCTTACTAAAGAAAGATAAAATAATGTTTTATTATAAAAAACGTTTTATTGTCTTGGATAGTCAGGCAAGGAAAAATAACTTTCAAAAGATCATGCCCTGGTATGACCGAGAGTGAGGGGAGTCAACACTCCTTCCCAAAATGCTCTCACATGGCCACGTGCATTCAACCACTGCCAGGGAAGTCCTGCTCACTGCCTTCTCACGGTGGGGGTGTTGTTTACGAAATTGAGAGGACAAAAAGCGAATGTCCGGCGCTTTAACCGGCTAGGTGAATATGGAGGATCTACCTAGGGGAGTTGGAAAACACTGATTCCAGAACATTGGTTCATATGGGATTCAGGATCCTGAGAGAACAAATGGCGTATGAGTCAATCTTTGGTCACCGACAACCATGGGACTGTATCTCCTAAAGTTGCTCCACTGCCTTGTGGATTAGACCTTTAGGTTAAATATTCGGGGTGTGGCTCCCTATGAAAACCACCTGTTTCATTTTGGACACCCGGGCACTATCCTAGCCCTTACACAAATCGTATGACTTGTGGCGCATATATATTTGGTGTCTTCTTGTGCCTATGTTTATGTGTTTAAAAAATAATAACAATACTTTATGAAGTTAAAATAATATTTGGTCTAAAATATTGATGTTAATTGCTTGTTCTTGTGAAGATAGTTAACAATAACTTATTTTGTAAGTAATTTTTGTTATTGTTCATAGTTTCACATAATTTGCACAATTACAATTATTGACTATAAAGTGGTTGTTTAAAATTTGATTTTAAACTTTTGTTAACATTTTCTTCTCTGTTCGCATGATACACAGACGTCGGCTCATAGATACACTTTTGTGCACACACTTCTCTTTCTCACCCATAGCAGATGTTTACAGATCACACAGATATTTCCATTACGTAATTATCCCGGAAACATATTATCTTGGATTATATCTATCTTATTTGAAATTATTGACTACTTTTTATAATTGTGGACTCCGAGATCAAAACTCGAACATGCTCCCTACTCATAATTTAAGTAACCTCCCACACTTTTTCTTTGTGAGCATTTATATTTGTGTATATTATCAATTGTCTTTATAATTTTCTCAATAACTATTATTATTTTGGTATTGATATATTCGGTCCGCCAAGATTATCTGGTGAGTCCGACATGAGGATGTCAGCAGAACTATATTAATTTCTGCTTAAGTGTCTACTAAAAATTCCGTACCAGAAATATTAAACCTGACATATGGGAGACGGCTGGCCGGCTGGCCAAAAGCAGTCATCGCCATTACAGTCTGGCTGGCACGTTTCCCCGTTTGTCATAGATATACGACGTTAATTTGCACGGTCTTGTGCATCGCTGTGCCTTGGTGCCGTACTTGTGGTGATACCAATAGACTCCTGGGATTGGTTTAGGTGACCTAGAGTATTGTCTGGGAAATGGCATTTTCCTAGAAGATGATCTAGCACGTCTTATATGTATAGTGTAAAAAGTTGCTTGTAGTGCTGCAAGTTTATTAGACAAGTCAAAGAAATGCTGTTGAAGTATTGCCATTTCATTGGTCTTTGCCTCTTCAGTAGCTTGTAATGTGTTCACACTAAGGTGATCTGTGGCATTAACCGTGGTTATTGTGAGTTGAGGTATACGAGGTAAGTCAGAGGAAACTTTTATAGAACTACAACTAAATGTTCATATTATCATTAGGTGCATACATTATACGAACATGCCGAAAAAATGTTTATATAGATAAAGAATACATTTATCTATGAGTATAGTATCATAGCATAACAAACAAAATTAACGTAATGGCTCACTAGATGATCTCGCCGGATCAAATATCTCATTATCAAAATAATGATAGTTATTGAGAAAATTATGAAAACAAATATAAATACTCACAAAAATTAGTGTGGGACGTTACTTAAATTATCAACAGGAAGCGTGTTCGAGTTTTCGTCTCTTAATTCACAGTTATAAGAAGTACTTAATAATTCCAAATATGATAGATATAATCCAAGATAATGTGTATTAGGAAACTAATAAGTATGATCAGAATTAAATGAAATATTCAAATATTTCAGTCTTCTTGAAACAGCTCGATTAAAAACCTATCAGTTACCGACTAAATTAAGTTCCATTTGATGGAAATGATGCAATATATTAACTGCACAAACTTCTATGTACAAACTTATACAAGGGATTAAAAAGGTAAAAGCTCACGTTATTATGAGTGTGAACTTAATACAACTATTAAGGATGAAACGAAGACGACTAGACATCTTATCTGTAATCAGTAATGTAAGATAAATCTCACTGTCTTGTAAAAAAAACAACCTGATGGACAATTCCACTGACCAAATACTATTTACGTAACTTTAAGATAAGAAATCCCTATTGTGAGTACGCACTGCTATGGAGTTCCAGCTAGAACAAAACAGCTATACAGTGCTTCTTGATTTTCAAATATTGTTTAACTTAGGTTGGTCCGTGATTTTACTAATAAATGGTTGGAATGAACGTTACCGATTGGAAACAACAGCATATTAATGTTAAAACGATTTTAAGGAACAGTTGGTCAGTTAGCTAGTAAAACTAGTTATACAAGTATAAGAATCGAATATAAAAAATTAGCGAAATTATACAACAGGAGTGGGTCATTCGGATTCACACTTTGCATATCCTAGAAGACATAGGAAATCATATCAACAAACCTAACCTGTTCGTGCACCAGAGGTTTGTGAAGGCTTTACTCTGGATGTCTGCTTAGTCAAACGGTATTTTTCTTAGATAAACCCTAATTTGCTTATTCTTATACTGATGATGTTATTTTTTTACCAGCCCACAAAATAATTAATTATTCAAATCGTCTTACTACAAACTCATTATTTGAATAAATAATGGTAAATTTAGTATATTGAACGGCCGTCCAGTGCTTCCAGGTTTTTCATGGTGGTCTAGCTTTAATCGACTCATGAATTCAACTATTAAATTACTACAATCTCCACAATCCCCCATTCCGATATTGAATTATTTCTGTTACTTAGTATCCAAGAGATAAAAAGCACGTCATCCAACTTGGTAAAAAACGAACAAAGTAAATAATTATCACAAAGAAAAGAACAATAATTTAGTGTTGCGTTAATTGATGTAGCATAGTATATAATAATATATGAATTTAAATTAAAGTATCAAATCCATATTTAACGAAATATTTTACTTAAGGACTTACTACTTAGGTGCTCTCAGATCAAGAAATGTTTCTTTGACGTCTAGAATAATGTCAGACAGTCGTGTATCTGGAAGTATTACTTTGACCTATGGGATGAAAAAGAATCAAGACTTGAATGTAAATATGTAGTACTGGGTTAATTGAAAATAAAAATACATCTTAAATGATTTAGAAACTATGATTAACAAGATTATAGTAACAAAAAATATATATAAGATTTAGATTCCTCTTCCACTCTATATGATGAAAATAGAGGAAAACAATGTCAAAGATATAGAAGATGAATGTCATCCATATAATGAAATGCAACAGCTACAACAAACACCAAAGTGGTCATTTGTTTCACCTTCATCTGTGCAGAAATCGGTTAACTTTTAAATATCATTATATATTTTAGCTTATAGAAATACGTATGTTCAAATGTACACATTGATTTGAATTCGAAAATGGCAAAATATTATGGACGACACAAACAATACAACAGAGCTTTTATAACCCGAAAATCCAGGTCACTGAGAGATGAAGCCAACCGAATTGTGGGTGGACGTAGTGACAGCATAGTTTCTGGTGACGGTCTGTGTAGCACTGCCCTCTTTTTGACCAGGGTACAAAAACACCTCTCTCGAATCTATCCTTTTCAGTTCAACTTGGGTCCAATCGGTTTCATTTATTCCGAGCACCTCTAAGTTGTATCTCCTCATTTCTGCAGCTATTTGATTGGTCCTTAAAGTCTCCCACACTGTCCGAACATTCTATGTCACAATTGATTGATCACTGGGTGGTGATCAATCTCATGCTTGTCTAGTCCTTATTAGTGCAGATCGAATGCTATCGATCATGTTGCAATGTGGCCACCAGTCTAGGTGACTCGACACTGCGGGCACTATGTATTGAGATTAGATGGTGGTTGGAGGTAGTCAACAGGAAACCCTGGACCCGGGTTTCGTGCTACTTGGCACTCGTCAGCAAGGTGTACCTGTAATCTTGAGGGAACTGGTGCTCCCTGGCGGATTCGATCTCGTGTCACCCAGCTTCACAGTCAGAGACGTTACCACTGAGCTATCAGAGCCGTGACTGACCTCCTGTAGGACTGAGATGTAATCACAATTGATTGATCACTGGGTGGTGATCAATCTCATGCTTGTCTAGTCCTTATTAGTGCAAATCGAATGCTATCAATCACGGCTCGGATAGCTCAGTGGTAACGTCTCTGACTGTGAAGCTGGGTGACACGAGATCGAATCCGCCAGGGAGCACCAGTTCCCTCAAGATTACAGGTACACCTTGCTGACGAGTGCCAAGTAGCACGAAACCCGGGTCCAGGGTTTCCTGTTGACTACCTCCAACCACCATCTAATCTCAGAACATTCTATGTACCTAAGTTAATTATTGCTCTGGTTGTTTGAGGGGGAATCGGCCTAGTGACTTCTGAAGAATCTCGGCTTTCACCATGAGATGTCATAACTCTTACTTCAACTTCCAGGGCAGAGTTTAAATGGTTTGAATTTGTTTATCCCGGTTAGAATTTTCTTAGAAAGGTTGTTTTCTACAAGATGGGGTTGCTGACCCTATGCCCAACCCTTCTTCTTTACCCAGTCTTGGGACTCACAGTAACCCTAGAAGAGCTACAGGTTGAGTTTTAGAGAATATAACATACACAAAATCACTCAGTTAGGCTAAGAATACCAGAAGGTTTGCTATGAAAGTAAGTAAACAAATTTTGCAAGAAATCTCACTAAATTGAAACTAAAAAAATATGAAAATATGGATCAGAAGAATCTGGCCTTATTGTAATGTAGAATATAACGTTGTTATTGCTGGGGGATAGCAGTCCATCTACACACCATCTTTTTCCTATTCTCACTTAATACCAACTATTAACTTCAACTAGACTTGTTGGTCACAGAAAATTCCTGATGCATGCGGTGAGTGAAGAGCAATGGTAAATGATGAACTGTTTTACATCCTTCGATCTTCCTTAACATTGGTAATAAAAAGAAATGTCTGAGCAAATCAATTTCGTTACTTCCACTTCATACTTTGCAAGTGAAATATCGTTGCTTAATTCTTTATATATTTCTGGGCAAACCAATCAGTTTTCATAACTGGTTTTATGGTCTATAATGACATAACAATGAACGATACCTGGCCAATACATGTTTGTGATATAGCTATTCTTAGAGCTCTGAGTTAAATCAACTGTATACTTTCCCTTGTGAACGCAGATCCATTCATTCTTTGTGTTGCTTTAACCCTTGGTTTTAGTATTCAGTACCTCTCAGTATTAGATTTTCGCCATTCTTTTATTAAATTTCTCGCTACTACTGTAATGAACAGAACCCGAGTAAGGACAATCAAATGTATTTGACACAATGCTACAGGACCTGTTATTAAAATCTAACAATCAAATAGTAAATACGTAATTTGCAAAATCTCCATCAATTGTCTCATAATGACTCAGAATTCATTGTTCTTGCATTTTCATACAAATTGCATTCTGTTTCCACTCTTTACTGTTCGATCCTCTTGTCTCTCTGCTGCCAGACATTCTGTTCACGACTAACATCATCTACTACTTATGTCAATATAAGTAGCACACATCACACTACTACCAGATTGAATTTGATCCTGTTACATTTTTTTGATTATACTGGCAAGAAATGTAATAATTCGGACGGAAATAATATTTATATAAGATTCTAAACGACTTCTATCTTTTTGATTGAGATCATCAACCGATTGATGTTAGACCACCATTAAATACCCGGAAGCACTGGACGGCCGTTTCGTCCTATTGTGGAACTCCTCAGCAGTGCGTATTCACGAACTCGCTCGCGGAATTCGAGCCCAGTGCCTTCAGTCTCGCACGCAAACACCTAATCTGTAGACCACTGATCCGGCATCCAACGGTGTTAATGTCTAACCTCAACCAATCCACGAAATTGCGTGACCATCTTCCATTGTATTGAGGTACATACCTGTCTCTATCCGACAGGGATTAACTACTCTGGTCATGGCTTCTCACTAGAACTCCGAGAATTCCCTCACGAAGCTAGTCATTCAGTCAGTCAGTCAGTAACAACGTAGAACATCGTACGTACGTACTTCAGTTCGAGTTGCCATACCACATTAGCACAGAGATGCAGTGGTCGATTCAAATCCCGTAGTGGTAGAGGTAGCAAGAGTATAAGCAGTAATCGGGAAGATTAGGGTTTGGAGATGTTATTTAAAGAGTATAATCCAGTGAAAGAAATTTGGAAAGAGGGAAAAAGGGACATGAAGAATTCAGAAGATTAGAATTTGGGAGAACACAGAGAGTGGATGCACCTGCGCCATTGCGAACGATTTTGAGCCATGTCATTCAGGGTCTCTAACCATCGGTTGCTGTCATCTCGCGGTCCCCAACCAGGTAGTCTACACCTACCAACATGACTCAGTTCACTTGTCAGTGACTTCATGAACTTGAGCCATGTTTTGGTTTGGCCGCCCCTAGCTTTCTTCCAACCTACTCCTATACCACTGAACATAGCACGTCGAGGCAGTCGGTCGTTGGCCATACGTAACACGTGTCCCAGCCATCTCAACTGATGAAGTTTCACTACGTCATCAATTGATTTGCCATCTTTACCTAGTACCCGTTTCCTAACAACTGTGTTACTTACTCGATGGTCCCATGATATACGAGCAATGTTTCGAAGACAACGAAGCTAGTCATTGGTGAGCATATGGTCATCATCAGTATAGGGTTATGGAGATTATTAACTTTTTGATTGAGATGATGAACCAATTTCTATTTTCCTATTTGTCGCTTAATTTTAAAATTGAAACATTTTCCTTAAATACAAATGAATGCAGTTTCTTTATAAAAATATTTTACGCATAAATTATGAGAATTTTAATTTCAACTAGTAGTTCGATTCTGCTTACAATCATGTATTCACAACAAGCTGTCGTTGGATTTTTTCTACCAAGTTGTAAATAGACATCTTCAGCTGTTACTGCTTGCTGATACACTATTTCATATCTGTATATGAAATGAACAAACACATAGAAAAGTGCTTTAGATGAATAATAGTCAAAATTTAAACGAATAGTTTAACAAAGATTAAGCACCGAGTATTTTGAGGGTATTATGGCCTTAAAAATGTGTATCTTCAGTAAATGAATTAAATTATTCTTAAAACATTAATTAATTTGATGAGAGATATTTTAATCATACCGGTTATAATGATCCGAATGTATGTTTCTTCATAACTTTAAATAATTAAGCGAAGATGGATAGTGGCTAGCAGTGAAATCCAGGACGCGCGTTTAGTCCTATTTAGGACTCGTCAGCTGGATGTACCTGCATCTCAGAGTTGATGTTCACTCCAGGACAACAAAAGACTGACCAATTGCAGTCCTAAATAACAGTTGGAAGATACAACTAAAATAAAACCAAGTGTACTTAAATAATTGAACATACAGTAACATTCATCTTATTTATTTTAATTTGTTTGATATGTGGGGATAGTTAACATAGACTTATTTGGTAATTAGTTATTTTTATTATTCTCATTTTCTACCGGAGGAGGGACTTTGTAGGCGCTGGCACCATGTCAAGCCCATATAGGTTGTTTTAGCTTCTGAACAAACCAATTCATTCTCCTCAGGCCAAATTTTGACCTTGTCACTCATCCGCTTATTAAGTTGATTACTTTTTATATGATCGTATGTGTGTTAATTGGTTGCTCTATTCATTACGTGTCTGTAATTTACTTTTGTCTGAATATAAATATTGGGTCACTCTTTATCAAATTGAGATGGTTCACTAGCTTTCTCCACCACACGTCACTGTGTTTTCCTTCGCCCTCTCTACTCCACTTCCTTCGCTTCGTTTCCCTGATTGTCTGTTCAGATCACTCGTATTTGACTTATTTTTATTCCGTTATTCTCCAACGTGAAATAAGTTGATAAGAATGTACGAGGATTGGCGGCATGTATATTTCTATAACAATCATTATACAACCTAACTGGAATCAGGCACAGAGCTACTAAAGACACCAGTTTGATGATTAACCGTTGAATAATAATCAATGTTATATTTTGTTGTTTTCGATAATGACTCAATACCAAGTTTATGTTTATATAGTGGTATACATAAATATCCAAGAGGTCAAGAATTTTTATCGCAATGATAGGTTGAAGATGTTACTTAAACAACTGTACTAACATGCTGAAAGGTAAGTTCAGGGGAAGATTCTACAGTTGAAATCCGTTTATTGGATATGCCATCAAATATTCAGTGAACATTTGAATTATAATAACTGTTAGTAGTGATTCTTAAGATAGTTGAAATTTTCCATAAATTAGTAAAGTGGGAAAAGAAGACCGTAATCTAACATGAAATAGATAGGATTTTTACCTACTTGGGCTGAGGGCGCGGATCATATATATCTTCATGCTGTGTACCTTCTGGTATTTCATCAATATCCCATATATCATCAGGATTCTTTTGTTTCACATTAGGTTTTTCTTTCTTGACTGATAAATTGGATAAAGATATGGTTGAAAAAGTGTGAATTGTGACAAACCTTCAGAACGACACTTGGGACCAATATCGCCCGGTTTCATTTTAGACATTGGAGTTATTACCTGGCAAGGAAAGAAAATGTGTAGCATTTATTATCAACGTATATATTCATGGAGGGAGAGAGAAATATTTGAGGTAGTGTTTGATACTCATGGGACATAACTAGCTACTTATTGGACTAGTTGACGGTAGAATTAATGAAGTCAGTAGTGAAATCTTTATTAGGTGTTTTTTCGGTCTACAAGTTACTTATTAGTTTCCTGACAACTAATGTAATACACTTATCACTGGGTCGCGCGAATGACACTTTGCCTAATAGTCAATAGTAATGATAAGATTAGACACAGGGTACCAGGTAAAATGGGTAGTCCAACTGACAAGGCTGTAAACCTTTGTTGGTTAAGGCAATTGAGATATGTGTTACATTCCCCCAACTATCATTTAGCCTGACATAGATCGCTGACTGGCAGAGGAGTAAGTTGGGAAAATACCATGATTAGGCCAAACAAAGATATAATGTCAGTCTATGAAGTCCTATATTGTTGGTCTGGGCCAATTCAGGAGGTGGGAAATTACTAATAAGAGTTTTAATTTATAATAGAGTACATTGGGTGAAATGTGGGGGAGAGGTCGATCATGCCAAAGCAGGTGCATCCATTCTATGGCCATTTTTAAATCATGAGTCTTACCGACCGAAAATCTTCATTTTTTTATTCCCTTTATCCTGCGTATCTGATGTTTAAATTTCCATCATAGCTGATAATATTTTAACTTCGCCTACCACTCATCTAGTTAGGTCATTTTTTCAATGTGCTGATGTAAGGTATTAAAACTTGGGTCAATACAAAGTCATATTCGGTCGATTGATCAACGGATCCAGTCTCTTGCTGAATGAGACTGATGTACAGACTATTTCACTGTTTAAGTGCCCAAAGGAGGACATGTACTTTAATACAGAGCTCACCAACAAGGCATTTGACCTAAATGTCGAATCCATAATTCAGTAAGGCAGAGGCTCACAATGTGTGTGGTGTATAAAGTAAGTTCATACACCATTGATCGGCTCAGAACATTGTAGTTCATATCAATTACTGACAGAAACATGGGCTTCAAAAGATTTCCACCAAAATCCTCTGTATAGACCAACCCATTCAATGTCCTCAGAGTTTATTTTATGTCTTTTAATCTATGCACATACCCACGCCAAGTAAAAACAGTGAGTGGTATTTTCTCAGAAGGGACTATAAACACGCGGTCGTATGACAGTAATTTCAAAGTGTGAAATTTCCTTCTAGTCAATACACTAGGACGTTCGAAGGTGTGTGTAACTTAGCAACCGAGTACAAGTTACTTTACTCGGGGATTTGTGCCACATCTTCCGTGTAGGAACTTCTGAAACCGAAATGGAGCCGAGTTTGAATCTTCAACGCAATGATTGAAACACAAGTGTTTTAAGCAGCAAGTCACTACCTTACACCATCCTTTAAAATAAAGAAAGAGTAGCAGTCTTTATTTTAATTTAATTGTTGCTTAATTATCAGGGTAAAAGTATGAACAACTAAACAGAGATAACCCTCAAGATCGAAAATCCTATTCACTTAACTAATGGAGGATACTAAACATGATTTGTATCTACCAAATGAGATCGTTTTCAGTTAAGACAAGTCGATATTTGCTTTAGTTAGTAGGACAATTTACTTCTGAATAAAGGAAGTAAACGTGGGAATATGAGTACTCTAATAAGCATATATATTAGACTTGATTTGTTCATTGACAAAAAACTACTATCTGGTTATCCTTTCACACAGCCGAAGATAGAAGGTCGTTTAACTAAGTGAGTAAAATTCTCACCAATCTAAAACAGTTTAGATGGATCATCGCCACGTTATTAGTAAGTAGACTGAAAAAAATAAGTCAGCCATCGGTTTTTATCGATTCAAATAAAACTGCATGGTTACATTTTCAGTTATGAATCTAGATTACCACGAATAAAAGGACACATGAATAGAATAATTTTAGTATAACAGTCCAATTAATTTAAAAGATTAAAGGGGAAAAATTTATAACTCACGTCATCCTGATCACTATTATCTTCCAACTCGGGATCCCTAAGTAAATTTTGTAATGAACGTATATTTTCTCGTGTCCATACAGCTTCCATTTTGTCTCCTTCATTATCAACAAATGTACAAGTGAGCTTATTATTAGTGAAAAATAATCAGTATGATAGTTATACCACAAGATAAACAAGGAAATTATTAGTTGTGTCACTTACACAGGTGATTGACTTGTGCACGTTTGATGTAAGTTATAAACAAGATCGAAAGAACTTTTATATCAAAAGATAAAAAAGGCTAGATTACTGTAATATAATTCAATGAAGTAATTATAAATCCCAGTTGACTTGAATAACTTTTGTGCCTCAGAGAATGAGTTTGATACTTGTTTACTTTTGACCAAGATGAAAATGAAATTAAAGAAACACTAGACAGCTGGGAAAACAGCAGTGCAAATGTTCAATACAACCTTACTATGAGATACTAACAAACTCAACCAATTCAAGATAACTCTCAACAACATGTTCCAAGACTTACAGGACCTACTGAAAGAAGAAGAAACTTCTATGCAGGCCGACCGAGAAGGGGTCAAAAAAGCATTAACTTCAACGTGTCAGGAGGTGCTGGGCCGCAACAAGCATCATCATAAGGAATGGTTCTCTATGGAAACCCTAAACACGATTCAAGAAACGAGGAACGAGAAGACAGCAATTAACAACAGCGGAACACGAGCAGAGAAAGCCAAGGCACAAGCTGAGTACACGGAAGCAAACAAGCAAGTGAAGAAGAGCATTAGAACCGACAAGCAGAAATACGTGGAAGAACTAGCAACGCCGGGGGAAAAGCTGCAAGAGAAGGAAATATGAAACAACTATATGATACAACGAAGAAACTAGCAGGGAAATATAGTAAACCAGAGAGACCGGCCAAAGACAAGGAAGGCAAGATAACCACTCATAATCAAAAACGGAGGAATAGATAAGTGGAACACTTCGAAGAACTCTTGAATAGACCATCCCCATCGAATCTACCGGACATCGAAGCATCACCTACAGACTTTATACAGCTGTCACTCCATCAACGACAGAAGGAATCAGAGTGACCACCAGACAAACCAAGAGTGGGAAAGCAGCAGGACCTGACAATATACCAGCTGAAGCTCTAAAGGCAGAAGTAGAAGTAGGTGCAAACGTGCTGCGCGTTCTACTCAGGAAGATTCGGGAGGAATAACAAGTGCCGACAGACTGGGAAGAAGGATAACTCACCAAGATACCAAAGAAATGGAATCTGAGTAAATATGAGAACTACAGAGGCATCACACTACTGTCAGTACCAGGGAAAGTTTTCAACAGAGCGTTGCTGAACCGGATGAAAGATTCAGTATACGCCCAACTTCGAGATCAACAGGCTGGATCCCATAAGGATCTATCGTGCACAGACCTAGCCGCGTCACTACAGCTCATCGTTGGACAATCAGTAGAGTGGAACTCGTCACTATATATCAACTTCATTGACTATGAGAAGGCACTTGGCAGTGTGCATAGGAGGACCTTATGGAAACTTCTTCGACAGTGGTTTACCTGAGACCGTCAAAATCATCCGGAATTCATACGACGAACTACATTGCAAAGTGGTGCATGGAGGACAGCAGACAGACGCATTTCATGTGAGGACCGATGCAAGACAAGGCTGCTTATTCTCCCCCTTTCTTTTTCTTCTGGTGGTCGGCTGGATTATGAAGACCTCGATGTCTGAGGGAAAGCACAGAATACAATGGATAACTCTGAATCAACCAAATGATTTGGACTTCGTAGATGACCTGGCCCTCCTATCCTTTACACACAAACAAATACAGATGAAGTCAATTAGTGTGACAGCAGCTTCTGCATCAGTAGGCCTCAACATACACAAGTGAAAAAATGAGAACTTTAAATAAAACACGAAGAACACCAACACAATCACACTTGATGGAGAAACTCTGAAAGATAAGGAACATTTCATGTACCTAGGAAGCATCATCGATAAACAAGAAAGACCTAGCAAAACAAGAACTGCATTCCTACAATTGAAGAACATATGGAACTCAAGACAACTGTCTGCCAACATCAAATTGAGAATCCTCAATACGAACTTCAAGGCAATTCTATTACAAGGAGTTCAAACTTGAAGAACTACTTCAATTAGTATCAAAAATGTACGGGTATATATCAATAGTTGTTTACGCAAGATATTCAATCTCCGTTGATCGGATACTCTCAGCAACAACCTACTATGGCAGAGAACAAATCAGCTTCCATCTAAAGAGCAAATTATGAATAGACGCTGGAGATGGATAGGACATATATTGCAGAGATTATCAAACTGCATCATTAGGAAAGCCATAACTTGGAATCAATTGGAGAGGAAAGGAGGAAGACCAAGAAATACACTGAGTTGGGAGTTGGAGACAGACATCAGAAGAATGAATAGCGGTCAGGAACAACTGTAAAGGATTGCCCAGGACAGAGTTGGTTGAAGAATCCTGGTTGGTGGCCTATTCTCCATGCAGAGTAACGGAAGTAAGTACTTACTTACGCCTGTTACTTCTCGTGGAGGAGTATAGGCCTACCACCAGCACTCTCCATCTGACCTTGTCTTGGGCAATCCGTTACAGTTGTTATTCATTCTTTTGATGTCTGTCTCAAACTCCCAACTCAGTGTATTTCTTGGTCTTCCTCCTTTCCTCTCCAATTGATTCCAAGTTATGGCTTTCCTAATGATGCAGTTTGATAATCTCTGCAATATATGTCCTATCCATCTCCAGCGTCTATTCATAATTTGCTCTTTAGATGGAAGCTGATTTGTTCTCTGCCATAGTAGGTTGTTGCTGAGAGTATCCGATCAACGGAGATTGAATATCTTGCGTAAACAACTATTGATATATACCCGTACATTTTTGATACTAATTGAAGTAGTTCTTCAAGTTTGAACTCCTTGTAATAGAATTGCCTTGAAGTTCGTATTGAGGATTCTCAATTTGATGTTGGCAGACAGTTGTCTTGAGTTCCATATGTTCTTCAATTGTAGGAATGCAGCCCTTGCTTTGCCAATCCTCGATTTTACATCTGCATCAGGTCTTTCTCGTTTATCGATGCTGTCTTTTGATGAACTTGATACCTGAGAACTTTATTTTTCAAGTGTTCATTTGATTTTGAAATGCTCAGAATTTCTAACTTTTACTAGGAGTAATATATAGATCATTGACAGAGTAAAGACTACTATAAATGATTCGTAGACTGGGACACCTTTCACATATTATTTCAGATGCTGAAATATTAAACATTATTTTTCAATACAGATACTAATCATCGTTAATAAGATTGCAATCGGTTCATAAAGATGTGAACCTTACAGTGTTCAGTCAATTACCAAAAGAGTTCCTCACATTTTAGTTAACCTTTTATACAATATTCATAACATAACCCTTCAATTTATTCATATTACTTTTAAAACAAATACTCAAATTCCTCAATGGAGCAGTTGACTAATTCCTCTTTATACAAAATTCAAACATAATAAAGTATCAACAAAAATAAAACAATGAATTCTGATACGATTATTTTATTCAACATAAAACTGTTATACTAAATATTTGTGCCTTCTCTAGTTGTAAAAGTTGTGACAAATATCCAAATATTCAACCCAGTTCTGATGGTTTTAGCAATTCATTAAAGAGGTTACTTCAATGTACCATTTGGTGTTATTGATTCGTTTTGACTCCATAAGTTTAGCCGTTTAGCTGACAAAGCATTATTAACATCAAAATGTAATTGATTTTTCGTCAATTCTTGTGGAATTAGTTCCATACGAAGCGTCGTACGATCTACTATGCCACACGCAACCAATGTTGCAGAAAGATCAACTAACATTTGGTGATTGCATAGTTCATTGGGATTTTCAACAGTGTTTAGTAAAGACATAGCTACAAGACGATAATTTCTGTTGGTTTTTGATAATGTTTTCGATCTAGCATGATCTAACGTTGCATATAACTCTCCTATTGTATCTTCTGGATGCATTTCAACATTGTAAATTTGCAAACCACTTTCCGAATAAATCCTTAATGTTATAAGTTCTGATTTTACTTGATTCTTGTCTATTGTGTTATTTTTAAATATGTAATCAGTTTTAATTATTCTAGTTGACGGAACATTAATTTGTTCACCAAATTCACTTTTTATGTCTTTTCTAATATTTAACAGCTGACCAGATTTTGTTAATTTATACTCCGGTAAACGTTTTAGCAATTCATCAAAAGTTAAAGATTTATTTCGCCCATTAGTACTTAATGTGTTTGAAGTTAGTTTATTGGATGAGGCATTACATTCTGCATTCATTTGATTTTCAATTCTAAAATGGAACGTATAAATTATATAGAAAATGAGTTAAAAAACAGTTTAATTTGCAGATATGTAGTATATATATTTGTGGTTATGACCCATTTAACTTAAGATCTCAAACAGTATTATGTTTAAATTCATTCGGTATTGTTTGCTTGAATCTTCCCATTGATGTTTAGGACGTCAGTTGATCAGTCTCTTATGAGCATATGTGCATCCTGTGAGGATTGCCTGGACGTTGACCTAATTCACAAACAATATAAGCAAAGATAGTTGGTGGCTAACAGTAGAATCTAGGACGCTCGTGAAAATCAACTCTGAGATGCAGATAGGCCCAGCTGACGAGTCCTAAATAGGACAAAACGCGGGTCCTGGATTCCACTGCTAGCCGCAAACCATCTCTTCTTATAGTATTATGGTTGTGCCAAAAAGACAACCAGAAAGTTTACATTTTTTACACGACTCAGTTCAGTATTTAAAGATGATTGCAATGTTTTTATCTGTTAGTCTATAGTCTATCTTCTCCTCCATTAACTATTAATAGTATGCTGAAGTACGTATTGTCTGAGAATGAGTCAAAAATATATTAGCCATTTCACTAGACAAAATTTCACGACATCAACAATTGAATTGTTTATTCAAAAAATGTCCGTTCATACAGTAGTATGTCTTATACACGTTAGGTTACTTTATTTATGAATGTTATTAGTTGTAAATAAATCATGTACTGGAATCTCGATATTTCGGTTTCCAAAAAAGACTATGAATAAATTCGACTACTGGGTTACTTTTAGTAGCACTTCTACCGTCTTGAGACGAGAATGTTCTGAACACTTTGATGTACATCGTTTTCTGCTTAAGTGGAGATGTACCCAGTAATTAAAAAATGTACATCAGATAGTTCGGGTGTCAGTTGAATCCAGTCCAGTTAGACAAATAGTATCCCCAGCTGTCACACACTAAATACGGCTTTAATACTAGCAAACAAACTTATGTTTGACTGCCGAACTGTTATTTATTAAGCCTCAAATGATGTTACACTAGACACTGGAAGAAAATGTTACTTGAAAGATCAGTCTTACTTTAGTGATAAATTCGTGCTTACGGTTTCTTCACAATATTTTCCAAGTTAAAATCTTTGACCTAAAGCATGTCTGAATGTACTCTCTTTGTAGTTTTTAGTTTTTAGTAGTGAGTCAGTTTACTAGAAATTATGAACATTAATCAGGCCATTCAGAGAAAACAACTCCAACACTCAGAAATATCAAGTCATTTTTAATTATTTCTTACTGTCCAATACTGAATTCTTCGTTTTTATCATTGTTTGGTATGTGTTTCTCATTACTGAAGGAAACTTCCTGACCTACATCTTGTTCATTTGTTAAAGAAATCCCGAGTTTATAACCACAGGCTGAAAATGATGTGGGTTTTTTTAATAACATAAAATGAGTTGTGTGTTTATCGGTTAGTTTGAATTGAACCCCATTTGGATAAGAAGACTGTAATTCTGATGGAAAGTAACCGTCCAGTATATCCTAAAAAATTAGAAGAACATGGTATACTTAGATTCAGAATGAAAACTATCATAATTTGAAGGAATTTCTCGTCATGAATTGATATTTCATCTGGAGAGCCGTTGAAGACATAAGAGAATTAAACAGTTGTTTCTTCACCACCAAAGACTCTTCAGTACTTTCCATCCATGTCTTGGCCAAATCATCAGAATTATGACTCGATTTTTAAATTGTGACCTAGTGCTCTAAGGAAATCGTACGCAAAGATAGTGGGATCAACTCTGTGAAAAATTATAGAACGATATTGTTGAGGGTTACAAAGCGAGGATAAAACAGATGCCTAGTACACCACAGCTTTCAGTAATTCTCTATCTGATGGTAGTCTATAAGTGAGAACTATTTATATTTCAGTCAATAATAAAACAGATGGTTTAAAACGTTATGAAAAACCAGTGGCTGGTTTTGGTTGTACCAAAGTTAATCAAAACAACCTGATTAACATGTCGTCATACTATTCCCTTCAACTTTCTTCTGTCAGAATAACATTTTGTTATTTGGTGTCTGCTTTCAAAATTATTCCTATCACTCACAGTTTTATTTTTTTAAACAATTATTGGTAAGTGGTACAGAGTAGGGCCATGAAACACTAGCTTCAAGAGATTCAAACTATATTCACTAGTAACATTAAAATTATTTACCAAATCTTAAGATCAATTATGCATAAAAGAGTATAAATGATGAAACAACTTTATTGAGCATAAAAATAAGTCACCAAGTTAACAACCAACCTAATTGATTTATTGTTGAAGTTTATAGAGTTATAAATTCTTATATGTAAATTACTCAGGAATTTGGTTCGAAATGTTTTTATAAAAGAGAAGTTATTTTTTTCTCGGAATTTTTTATTGTTATAGATTCCAGTTGTTTGAGAGTTTTAGACCATTTAATAAGGTAAGTCAAATAGTCAGATAGTCTTCCATGAACGATTTACTTTTACTCAGATACAGTGATATCTGGAAAATTCCAAATCAAAGGTAAACAGGAACAATAGCTTATGATGTTGAAAGTGCAGTTAATCTGTATCATTTATTAAATTAATTCATAGAACTGTAATCGTTTTATTTCACTTGAACACCTTAATCTTACTGCTTTCTAAGGAGTAAAGTAATTTGTGATTTTATAGGATAAAGAGAATCAGAGATATTTACTATAAAAAGTTTCAAACTAGTAACGGTCATCTATCTATGGTGGGATAAAAAGGCAAAATCACATTTTTAACTTGTGACTCTTGCCGACCATTACTTCTGTTTTTAATTCAGCATGGGGACCATTCAGTATAATATTTTTTTATGCTTTTAGTGCGCTATTTTATTCAGCATAACGTTGATTTACTTTAGTGTAATGTTTGTTCAAGAAAGATAATACCGTATTAGATTAATGTAATCTATGTTCAATATAGCATGCAACGTGCACTCTTGCTATAATTTCATATATGTGACTTCCTACTAATTAATAGTAAAATGTGTTTACAAATCATTATATAAATGAGTGCATTCTGAACTAAAGTCGTTGTCTTGTTCTTGGGGTTAATAAAACTTCACTTGCACCACTCTTTGTGTTCTTACTTTGCGCTGTGGGAATTGTAGTGGTTCCTCGTTTCAAGTACGTCTAATAAACAACGTGGATGTAACCCTGAGACGAGACGTAGTTTTTTTACTCTTTATTATTTCTTAGTGAAACTTTGTCTGTTCCTATTAATCACGTCTAAATATGTCATTAGATAAAATAATTTTAGAGTCCTAAGTGTAGCATCATCGGCTGCCTTGTAATCCTCAGTTTAACGTTGATTGTTTACCATTTATTTGACAAGTAACGTACCGTTGTACTATTTCGGGCAAATAATTTGTGTATATAAAACAGATTTAACTCTCTGATAAAAATAGTTTTAGTATGCTTACTAGTAATTCTATCCTTTGAGATCTGGTCGGCTGTAATTACCGAATCGTGCACTACCAAATCATCAGTTTGGTTATCTTATTCTGTCTATCATTTTACCAGTTAGTTGTGTCATTATAATTTACAGTAATCAACGTTTAGCATGAAATAATTTTACTCAAAAGTGACAAAGTAGGATTACTTGGACGAATTGTAGCGTATCATGATTTTTATAAGGACGAAATGGTCCAGAATTAAAGCATAATCCATCTGCATATAGAGTTAGTGGAATCGGTGGTTGATTTTGTAGGCAAACTATATTATATGAATTGGATTCTGAAATAAATTTTTTCTCATTGTGCGCGTCGTTGTTCCAATCATTTAATAAATAAATCTGTTGAACTAAGCGACTGAAGGTTGTTTCGTTGAATTCTTATTATTGATAAACAAATAGCAATATTATTGTCATTAGATTTATAAACAAAGCCTACTTAGACCAGTTTCATTTCTTGTGCTGGTTACATGACCAGTTGATTGTCTTCCTATCCACATGAGACCATGGTCATGAAAAAATTCCTTCATTTCAAGAATCTGTGAACTGAAATAATATATGTGTTTATTCATTTCATTGCCTACTTGTCCTTGTAACTCTTCGCAATATTTCTGCAGCCTTTCTATAGTTTTCTGATCGGTTTCTTCAATATTATTTTTTCTCTCGTCAGCATGGAGTATTTTGAGTTTACTTTCCAGTAGTTCGATTTGTAAAGTTTGTCTTTCAATCACTGATTTCTATAAAAAAAATATTGTGACAGATTTCCAAATTATGAATAAAATCACGTGTATGCCGAATGAAATATTGAGATGCAAGTTCTCACAAAAGGTTGCCCCCTAAAGTCCTCCAATTATATCATCTAGGGTTTACTCACTTCAGCATTTCTAGTCACTTCTTGGAGCCCCAAGAAACAAGAGTGAAAACATTGCGACTATATACATGTATATTATTCTGACACCTGATTTGTTCAACATAAGACCATTTAGATGAAATGAGCAATATGAATAACTAAACAGAATCACAGGCACACAAAATTTCTCGTTTATTTGCTGTCGGTTGGTAAAAATTCGTTACATCAAAAAACATTGAATTCCTTGAACTGATACCTTAATGAAACTAAGGAAACCGTAAAATGTTTGACTATTACTTAGGATGTTCACAGCCTTTTAATTCAAACGAAATATCAATTTTTACTCTAATATTTAGTATTTATATGCAAATATGTGAGAAGTAAACCAATCACGAGCAAATAACAACAAAGACGTGGGTCACGCAACTATTCATAACAAATAAGAAACAATCGTGATAAAAATACGCAAATCGCATTGTGGCTGTGACAGAAACTTGGTTAGTTCAGAACTTTGACATTACTCTAGAATTATCTGGACACCACTACCTGAGAAGTGATAGGAAAGAAGATGAAGGAAAAAAGGTGGTGTCCTTTTATACATAGCTAATAATATAAATGTCTGCTCCTCTGCTAGCGAATCCCATGACAGTGGAACATGTGAAGTCACTAGCTGTGAGCTGACTATCGGGTGTGGTAACTTTATACTTGGTGTCATCTATCACAGCCCAATCTGCTTAGCTGATGACTTTATTTTAGAGCATATTTGGCTATGGAGTGCAAAAAACAGATGCTTGATATTAGGAGACTTTAATTCATCTGATATTAGTTGGACTGAGATGACCACGGAAGGATCCATAAACTCCCTTGATAGTAGGTTCCTGGTAACAATAATGGAGCATGCATTAGTGCAGCATGTATCCAAACCCACACGTTTTGGTGCCAACCAAGGATTTTCTCTGTTAGACTTGGTAGTCACTCATGAGACTGAGGATATTGTCGATCTAAATATTCTTCCACCGATAATGAACAGCGATCACGCTGTTTTGTAATTCACGTTCAGAACAAGAGACATAATATACGATCAAGTTACACCCCGCCCAAACATATGGAAAGTCATTCAGGAGTGCCCTGCTGAGACAGATTGGTCAGTAGATACTAGCTTATCAGTTAGAGGAGCATGGTCCATATCTTAAGGCAAGTTTAGTTCCATTACATTCTCGTTTATACCATGCCCGGTTCCACCTAGAACGAACGACTGTCCACCATGAATAACTAAACAAGTCAAGAAACTACATAGAAGAAGGTAAAAGCACTGGAATATGTTCATCTCTACTAGCTTAGAACAGTACAGATCCAGTTATCACAAGACTAGCAATACTTGTAAAGCGTTAATAAGTGAGACTGGACGATCATATGAAAAACAGTTTGGTTGAGATTGTAGATATAGTCCGAAACGATTATTCTCGTGTATAAAAAGGCTAACTCAGACAAGCGATGGAGTTCCATCACTTCTGATAAAAGGAAATTAGTTACTCTTGGCAAGAAACGATACCGAAAAAGCCAAGGCTTTATCGGAATATTTCATTAAAGTGTTTTCTATCGGTAGTGAAGGACGACCAACGATTCATTGTGATTGTAGTGGCTCGTTGATAGACCCTGTAGTCATTGAGAAAGGTACTGTCTTAAGGCTACTTCAGCATCTGAAACCTGATAAGTCCAGTGGTCCTGATGATATTCATCCTAGGATTATGAAAGCCATATCAGATGTAATGTCTCTGGGGCAATCCAGAATTCCCAGAGACTGGGAAGACGCAATAATAGGTCCGGTGTATAAGGCAGGAAGTAGGGATTTAGTTAATAATTGTAGACCCGTTAGCTTAACTATGCAGTTGTAAAACTGATGGAAAAAGTTATTCGGATATATGTTATAAACAATGTTGAAGGGCATAATCTTTTACCCAGAGAACAACATGGTTTTTGGAGAGGCCTATCATGTTTGGCAAATCTCACTGCAAGAGAAGACTGGGCTGTAGCAAAAGACCGAAATATTCCTGTAGATGTGATTTTCATAGATCTAAGTAAAGCCTTTGATAAGGTCTCACATTCTGGTCTTAAATTAAAACTGCAAAGTTTTGGAATCCATTAAACAGTCAATAAAAAACCAATAACTATAAATCTAAACTTCAAAGGTGATGATGTTGCAAAAACACTGAAAACTGCGCTAGCCAGAACTTATCCGGCGGCAAAACTTCTAATTCTGTATAAAACAACATGTTCAGTAACTCAATCAAAGGTTGAGAAGCACCCCTTTCATGTTACCGACAAGTGTATTTATAAATTTATGTGTACCTGCCAAAGCAGTTACATTAGCCAAACAGAAAGGAGGGCATATCTTAGATTTTTTGAACATGTTCCAAAAAGCCTCAGAACAAGAGAAAAAAGACTCTAAACAGTGCAATCCTCAAACATCTCTTTGATGTAGGACATCAAGTCGATACCCTGCAACAATTCAAGGTGATCAGTAAGCAACCAAACTCTAGTATTCTGAAGTTTGCTGAAGCCGTGGCTACCAGATGCCAAAAAAACTGATTCATGTGTTCAAAAGGAGATGTTTAATAATCTTTTCTTGCCTTGGTGACTAATATTCCTTCGCTGTATCTTAATATATATTTTTTACTTTAAACTTTTTCTTGCATTTATTACATCATCGAGTTTTATTTCAACTACCTTCCAAATTAATAATCTTATTTTATCAACTGAACTCTGCTCATTTTACTCCTATCAATGTTTACTCATTATATAATCACTTTTTTCTAGCTGTTTGAACTGTTGTCACAATCAGTGTTGTAAAATGCTCTTTTGCACAAAGTATATATTTGCAATATTCAGTCTATCAAATTTATTTACACCCTTGCTATACTATACTAATATGTCTTCGATATAACTTCCAAGCAAACCCTCTCATGTAAGTAATTTAAACACAATATGCAATTATGATTATAAATATCACAGGTCTTAAGTAGCTGACGAGAGCCAACGAAATAAAATGAATTCACGCTATTCTGCTAGAATGTTCGTTCTTGCTCTTTTCGAAATGACAAAGGAAACTATGTGCGTGAAACAGTCATAGATTGGAAGAGTGATTTTCTCCATGACAGGAAGCAAAGGGCAAAGAAAAATGGAGCTCTCTTCTCGTGGGAACCTGTAAAACGTGGAGTTCCACTCGGTTATCTTCTCTTTTTACTTTATGTAAATGAATTACCGACTGTAACAAAATCATCCGTTCTACCCTTCGCTGACGACATAAAGATTTAGATACCCATACACAGTATGTCAGATAAAGTAGTATTACATGGTGATCTAATATCATTGGTGGCATGGATGGACAGGTGGTCATTAGAAGTAAATTCTAGCATGGTGACGCAATTAAATGACTATGATGATTGGTATCACCACACAATATGTGGATTCGTGCTACCCAAATTAAGAGAATATAAAGTTTCAGAAGTCAGACTAAGCAGTGTTTTCAAAACCACTAGTCACTGTAAGGCTGAGGCTGCAAAAGGCTATAGAGTATTATGGTCTATTCGTAGGTCTTTTGAGTATTTGGATGATGAAATGGTTAGATTACTATACCCGACTTTCATGCAACCACATTTAGAATATGGGATTCAAGCAGCAAGTCCTTGTTTCAAGTATGATGCAGATATGCTGGAAAGAGTCCAACGTCGAGGGACTAAGATGGCAAAAGGTCTATCTAGCCTGTCATATGAAAACAGACTGAGACACCCTAAAATATTTCTTTTATCTTACCATGGGGTACGGGGTGATCTGATATTGGCTTATCGTATACTGAACGATGACCTTGGTATTAATATGTCTTATTTTTTTCCTTTCGTCTAGGACTGATCATTTGAGAGAAAATTTGAAGAAAGTTCAGAAACCGAGGTCAGATCGTCTACGCCTAGAGTTTCATTTTTTACACCGAGTAGCAAGCTACTAGAATTTTCTACCAAAACACTTAATATCAGAACCTTCTGTTGATATATTTAAAACGATATTAGAACTGCACAGAGTCACAAACTGCAAGGATTAATATAGGTCGATAGACCTATCCTTATTACTGAGGACTGAAGTAACCGTGGGGTGACAAGTATGGAAAATGGCCAATAATCATAATGATACACTGAATAAATACGTGGAGCAGGAAGTAGGATTGTGAAAATTGGCGTATATTATGGGCATCTGTAGAGGTCAGAGATTTGATGTTTTAGAATTCAGATCTTAATTGTTTCGTAAGGTGTATAAGTAAACTGTTGTCGATTGTCACATCAGCTCTTCATATGGTGGTAGATGATTTTAAAGTATGAAAAACCTCGCACATTAATGTTTTAATATCAGTAATACAGATCAACTCGGACGACCTAGCTGGGTAGTCTGACTGACAAAAGTTCGAAACAAGATGTGATAAAAGTTGTGATGATTGAAATAAGTAAAAAACCTCAAGTGTTTGAAAATTTCTCGTAATAACCAAATATACTGTTGACAAAAACAAGGTAACATAACTTGATATATGTACGTAAATTCTTGAGACCTACATACTCGGTATTTTCTTTTAACAAGGCCTCATTCTTTTTCAGAAGTGAGGACAGTAGTGTTGGATCGTTAGTTAAAGTAGGCCTTCGTTGATTCAGCACAGTTTTAAAATTTAATTCGCTTTCACCGTTCTCCATTTTCTTTAGACCATTGATGAATTTTCGAACAGATATTTCTGAAGTGATTTCATCACAAAGATTATCTGCAGAATATAATAAACCACAAGATGGGGATCCATTAGATGTGATTGGACAGGATAATATGACTTTTCCTTCACTATGTTTTAAATCTCGAAACTTTGGTTCACGTCCGCAACCTTGACGCGTCATTGTCATGACTACGTTTGTATAATTTGATGAGAAAAAGTGGTACGAATAATGTGGTAGTTAATTCATTAGTGAACTTACGTCTGACCTGTAAACGTTTAACCTTAGAATAGTTATATTGAATCACATAAGATTATCCAGTCAGGACTAGCACAAGCCATCTAGCCTCCGGTCCCTTCCAAATTGAAACTGGTTCTTGACATGAACGTGATGTTTATGACAAATTAGCAGATATTGACGTGTCCATCCTACTCTTTACTTTCAATAGTGAGCATTATGAACAGTTAGTCTACCTAGTCCGACGACCAACAGGTTCAGTAACCTGGTCATGCAGCATTTTATATCACAACCATATACAACCTACCTTTCTTTGTGCAAGTATGGCTATCAAATATGGAATAAACAGAGGATCTGTTTCGATGAGACATTTGCAATTTTAAGTGGTCTGCTACTAGTGTAATGTGAGAAAAAACCAAACATGAACGCGAAGAAAGTATGTTGTGGAGATATGTCTGACAAGTTTATTTTGTAAATAGTTTTTAATATTATTTATATTTATTTTGTCAACCTTTCACTGTATGTATATTTAACAGTAAACGATTGCAACTGTTGTTTTAGTAAATGAACTTGAACACACTTTCCGTTGTGATTCTGACATAGCGTGACATGCCGTTGCTGGCTAACAAATACACTGCTTCTCACACATTCCTCGTTCTATTTTCATTCGTGATTGAGTTAACTGGGATCTAAAACAAATATTATTTCCATTCATAGACTGTGAGTGCGAATACACCATACCTTACTCTAGATTATACCACTGGGGAGTTCATCGACACGTTTGGAATTACCAAGCATCTATAATTGTGGATTTATTGTACCAGAACTTAAGTAAAGTACCATTTTTATTGTATTTGTAACATTTAACTGGTATACATTAATATTACTATTGATTTTTATTAACTTTGTTGATACATTTTGCGTTTATATATCATCTGGTCCACCACAATGTACATTGATCTGCTACGTCCGCATTATACTGTACGGTTTAATATCACTACACAACGTGATTTTTCCTAACTTTTAAGCCTAAACCTGTACTGGAAACGACTATGGAGTCATTTTTAACTTTCTAATAACTCTATTTTTTCCATAGAAAACTTTGACTTTTCGTGCATATACTTCTTGTATCATTATAATTCTGCACCTATATATCACATATGCTTGTGTATGCCTGTTCACTTGTTATTTAAAAACAAAAAACACCACACCACCTAAGTAATATCGGCCTTGCTACTATCATACTGTTAACTGTAAGAGTGCAAATATCTAGTCTACTTAGTATTACGTTGAGCTTACCTCGTTCAGTGACTAGCCAGAACTCACTAATTTGATGGACAAGATATTTTTCTTCACAAATACTTTCAAAAGAGTACTCATGATTATTTCAAGCGCTTATGTTTGAACGGCAATGTGACAACTAAGCAATAAGTGAAACAAGTAACTAAGCCATCATTATATAGATTCTAATCACTGAACTAGTGAATTTCGAATATCTATGGTTTAACGTGGTGAGTTCCAAAAAACACTTGATGGTCATTCATCTCCTGTAATAAGACCACGCGGTGGACATTTAAGACGTACCGGTGTTTTTTTATTCCAGCATCTCGAGGAAATTTATTTCACTAGTCTATGTTGGGATGAGATCTCTTAAGTACTATAAGTGGGTTAGAATTTAAGACAATAATATCAAGACATTTTATGTGAAAATTATATTTGAAAAAATCTCAGCGATTGAAATTTTAAAAAGTTTCAACGTTTCGTCCAACTAACTTGTCTGGACTTTTATCGAAAAGTCTGACAACGCTTAATAAACTTAGGGCTGAAACCAGTAAAATCTTACAGTCGTTAAAGGTTAAACTAGGATCGCCGCTATGGCTCGTGTTATATCCAAAGAGTTGTAACCTTTGTAGATTCTGTAGACTTCCTAAGCATCACAAGAACGGTACTCCACAAAGACCAGTGGTTGACTTTGCGAATTCGCCGACATACAATCTAGCGAGATAATTAACTAAAATACTTAAGCCTTATGAAAAAATGATTAATCATGGAATTAAAGACTCCATGGAATTCAAGAATATTATCGATACCATCGATAAAGAAGAGGATGAACTATTGGCGTGTTTTGATGTGTCTTCTTTGTTCACTTATGTACCTGTCAATAGAGCATTGGACATTATCTTTGATTGTTTAGGATCTGATTCAGATTTGAATTTATGTCGCCCGTTAGATCCATCTCACGTTACCAAATGTTTGAAATTATGTTTAGATCCCCCTTATTCATATTTCGAGGAGACCTTTACAGACAAAATGAAATTATGACAATCGGTTCATCAGTTCCTCCGATTGTAGCTCATTTGTTCGTGCCTTCCCTAGAAACCAGTGCAATTGCGAGAAGTGTATGTCCACCAAAGGCCTGGTTACGGTATGTACATGATATTTGTATTGTCACTAAACGTGATGGCCTGAAAGAATTGTTTAAAAATGCATGTCGGAAAGCATTAAGTTAGCGAAGGAGGTAAAATTCGTTGACCACAAACTAGCGTTTCTCGATTGTTTGTTTGAACGAAGACATATTAATAGGCTGAAAATAAATGTATTCAGGAGATCAACACTATCTGAGAGATACTTACATTGCGGTTCGGCTGATGCACAGTGTACGGGAGTGGATGTTATAAAAAATGTAGTGAACAGACGTATTAAGCTCGTCACAGATAGGGAAGACCAACAAGTTGAATGGAATAGAGTATTATTTACACCCAGGGTTGACAATTACACGAAAGAGTTTTTAAAGATCATCAGAAGTGAGAGAAAAGTTAAACTATAATGTATACAGAAAGATTGGAAGTCCACCGTGGTCATCCCATACCATAGTGAAACATCGGAAGAAACCAAGCGGATTCTTAACAAGCATGATATAAGAGTGTATTTTCGGGCGAATGACACCATAAGATCGGCATCAGCGAAAGTTGAGGATAGGTTCTTGAAGAAAGAACCACAAAATATTGTATATGAGATCAACTGTCATGATTGCATTGCAACGTATATGGGAGAAACATCCAGGCAATTGAATGTAAGTTTAAAGGAATACAAACTGTTTGAAAAATGTTTCAAAATCCTCGGTTGACCTAAAGAAACTTGAGAATAAGTCTGCGATGGCGTTACGTGCGTCGGAAACAGAACACAAGATTGATTCTGAAGGGACCAGAATACTTTAGAAAGGTTTTAACAGCAGAAACGCCGTATATATGAGCAAACAAGAACAGCCCGAACCGAAAGGATGATATTCAAATAGCAACTACTTGGCAAATATTTGTTAGCAAGCAATTGAGCTTGTTCTTTATTCAATCTGCTTAGTTCATATGTATCGGTAATATGACTGGAATCAATGTGAGCTATTTTTAGCTATACAATTATACATCTGATGATTCTCATTTGACATGCACATCGATGATTCAGAAACAATCTTTTCAACACTGAACTTTCACTTTTATTCATTTATTCATTCATATAAGACATATTAACACCGAATATCAGTAATTAATAACTAAATCTTACACACACATACACACATATAATTTGTTTCAGTCAATTATATCCACGTGAAATTTCCACGTGATTCCCATGTAACTAACTTATGTTATCCTATTCACTAAAATCAACATCCAAACAGGGTTGGATTAAGCACAGCATAAATCTGATCTGATATGATTACTGAAAGTGTATATATATTCCTTTGATGAGTCTGATTATTACACTGAAGTACAGACAACTTGGCCGGATGAAACATTGGAATTTATTTACATTTCAATCGCTGAGATTAGTTTATATATAACTTTCATATAAACTTTTTTTCGCTATACTCGGAGCCTAATTTCTGTCAAATTATTCGTTCTAATACTGACGAATATTCATATAAATAACATCAAGACCCTGTAGAATTCTCATCTGCAGTAGAAATGAGGAAAAACATGACATGGATAGGAGGCGACGACCTGATTGTTTGTTGCCAGCCCTAAACAAATATGAAAATACCATGTTTACAATGAAAAAAGAAAGCTTTTCAAGTCGGTCCTGTCAATTTCAGTCATCGTGTTCAAACGCATACTGTTAGAGTGGACGGCATGTTGAAATATTTCAAAGCACAAAATCTGATACCTTGTCTGCGAGAATTAGCGGATCGTCCGTTAATTGTGATCTGTGCCTGCGCGAAGAGAGAGCATTTTGGACAATGAAAAGTTATTATTCTTTTTATAATTGTTCTGACACTGAAATGCAATGCAAGCCAGCGGTTAAATTAGAAATTATCGTGGAGTAACACTTATAGTGACCACCATCAATATCTACGAATTTAAAGTAAATATTGAGACTTCTGTTAGTTTCGTAATTAATACGGTCGATATGGCTTAAATCGAGAAATAGTGTTAGAACAAAATGATTATCTTCCTATGCAGAATCTAACTCGATTAGAACGAAATGCAAAAAACCAAATGCGTAGAATTATGGTCAACTTCGTTAGTAGTAATGCTCTAATAGAAGACCCAATCCTAAATTTGTAGATTTGTCATGATGTAACTGCCTAAATTGTAAGATCTTATATAGAAGTTATATTATTGTCTACACTGATTCATCATATCGTAACAATTTCCAGTATGTGATGGAGAACAAATTCAAGCTGAAGATAGAGCAATATATTTAATATGAATAAAAGTGATAAGTTACTCAAGAATGACTACGACTGCAAGGCTGAGCCATACCATCCGATAGGTTCAGTTGAATATTCCTTTCCCTCTTTCTATATCGTTGGGTCTTTCTCCGTGGTAGATGTTGAATGTCCACTTTATCAGTTGTCACATGTTCAGCTTTGAAGATTGTGTGGTTAGGGCCCGATGCCACTACAAATTCTCGAGTTTGAAAAGTAATTTCCATATTCAGAGGTGATTACATATCTCCATTTCACGGGTTTATTGTTGACACATGCAGTATT